GGCAAAAATCATAATCTCGATTATTTGGGTCAATAATTGATGTCACGATTATTAAAAACGATTATCCATTTACTTTGAAAACATCATTTATTGGAGAAACAGTTGATTACCCTGAACTTAAAGTATACTTCAACTGAAAAACCCAAAAAAAAAAAAAAGAATTGAGAAAAAAAAAAGTAATCGTTTTATTTCGATTACGTGGTTTTCGTAATCGTTGCAAGCCATAATCGTAATTGCGATTAAAATACGATTAATTGAGCAGCCCTACCTTGGGGTGATGTGGCTGCATAATATTGTTTGATACCAATCCTGATGTGAGGAAAGTACAAACATTCTGTTATGTCAGATCTTGTAGTTGACCCGTGGAGATTTCTGGTTAAAAACTATAATTATTTTAACGCTCAGTTTAAATCAACTAAATGAGGTAACGCTGAGTTTCAAATATCTTTTTAGCTTTTTTTTTAATACAGTACAAATATAATATAATGCAATATGTATTTCGTTATTACATTCCTTTATAAATGTATGTGTTTTTATAACAAATATTTGCTGTGTATTTTTGTTTCAGTATCCCCCCTGAAGCCAGAGGAGATGCTAAAAGTGCGGATAGATACTGACGAGAGGCAAAGTGCTGGATATGAAGTCAACCCTCAGAAACTGGTATGAAAGAACTGAAATCCAACAAAACGCACATAATGGTGTCTTTTATTTCTGGCCCTGCTCTTATTTCTGTTCTCTTTTTTCCAATTAACTGCAGGTGTTTTTCGCTGAGGATGTTGGATCCAATAAGGGGGCCATTATTGGACTTATGGTTGGAGGGGTTGTCATAGCAACCGTCATCGTCATCACCTTGGTGATGCTGAGAAAGAAACAGTATACTTCTATTCATCACGGTGTGATCGAGGTAAAGAAAGGGTGTTTTGAAAAGATGTGTGTGAGGAATGCAGCAGTTAGTTTGTACAATCGTGTTTTTTTTTGTGTGACACTGAACCCCTCTCTGTGTGTCTGTAGGTCGATGCAGCGGTGACTCCAGAGGAGCGTCACCTGGCCAAGATGCAGCAGAACGGCTACGAAAACCCCACCTACAAATTCTTTGAACAGATGCAGAACTAACAGCTCATCAACATTTCCCCCCCTGAAGTATCCCTAAAACTCACTCGTAGGGTCTGTTCCTTTCTGCCCCTTAGCCCCTACACCTTCAGTTTCTCACCACTACAGGCAAAGGAGAGGTGTGAAGAGTCCTGCAAAGGCTGATTTGTATCTTGCTCACAAGTTAAGAAATGATGAGAGGGAAGTATTTGTACCAGTTTATGTCTCAATCTGAAGTTTGGGCCGAAATAATTACATGGCACAATCCCTTCTTTATCCCTCGATTGTAAAGCGCCACACATTATATTTACCTGTAATTGATAAGACAAGGGTCCCTGTTTTACCTGCACATTTCTGCAAATCAGAACAAAGACATCAGTGTCTGTAGTGAAAAACCCTGTTGACGATTGACTCGCCACTAAGACCAGAAACATGTCAATCCAAGCTGTTTAAATCCCTGCCTCTCGCTCTGCACGGTTTGTTCCATTTTGCGATGGCAGCTGTGTTTGATGACATAACGGCTCTTAGAGCTGGCGGCGGGCGGAGGCTCTCGCACGATTAAAGCCCAACTGTTTCAGGTTTGTTTTTCAAAAAAATAGGAAAAAAAAGAAAAAAATACATAATCAAAAAATGTAAACGTTGAAGAATTTTGAATGTTTTTTTTGTTTTCTTATTTTTTTTAATGTGTAATATATTAAGACAGAGATTAGCTGTAAGTATATGTAGTGCATGGCAATATTGAAGACAGATGCAGTATATTATATGTTGAGGTCCTGGAGAGAGGTCCTCTCACTAGATATTTTAGCAGGATTGTACATTTCGTGTCTTCTTTGTGATCTTGTGATATGAAGAAGAAAAAGAGTATTCAGAACCGGTCTGCTTTCACAGACTTGCTTTAACTTTGGCTCGTTACACTCATCTCCATGCTTCACTGTTGTGTTAGCTGCATGGGCAGAATGCTCTATATGTAATATATATGAAGTGTTATAGTATCCGAAAGGAAGACAATTTTGTTACTGTTTGCGTTCTATGCACTCTGTCATTTTAGAAGATCACCAAATATTATTCCTGTTAATTCCCTAATGCCAATTCAAGCTGCTCATTGGGTTTTTAACAGGTTTGAATCGAACTTTCTAAATCTATCATTCCAGATCAATCATTCCACTCTTGAGTTTATATATTTGGAGATCAGCTCTCAATGGCCCAGTTTCATTATCAAGTCTTTCCCCCTTGTTTAGTTGTTCTTCACTCTCTTCTAACCCCTGTCTTTCCTGTTTATCCACTCTTTCTGGCTGTGTCAACGTTATTGTGAAGCACAGCTGTTGAAGTTGTTGTTGGGCCAACAGATATGATGCGTTTCTCCTCTTCACACATTCCTTCACCAAATCTCTCTCATTCTATTTTTCTACATTTCCTGCGTAAACATGTACAGTGCTTCTGTTCGTCCTGTGGTGAACGTTTCTTTGCCTGCATATCTGTTGTTATCGATCATCATGAAGAGATGAATTATCACCATCAGTACTGGGAGTGGACCACATCGGCATAGAGACACACTTCCCTCTCCCTTGATTAAATTATTAATGCCACCTCCAGTAAACATGAATGTGACATGAATATTGTGCTTTTTATACCATAGAAATACAACACATATCGCCTCTCTACACATTATACTCACATGTGATCAGACACTTAGTGAAGCCCTTAATCAGGTGAATGTTTTAAAATTTGAATTGATGCTCACTCTGGGTGTCTCTGGAGAAATGTGTTTTTAAAAAAAATGATGCTTTCCCCCCGTTATTGTGTAGTTAAATGGACCATTTGCGTAGAGTAAGGAAAATGCTTTCTACACTCACTATACCATGAATAAAATTTTGAATGTACATAAGTTGCTGGCTGTTTGTCATTTTAAGTTCCTTACTATGATTTATACAGAATATTTAATAATAAGTTCAGAGATGAAAAGACTGAATCAGACATTAAGAAAAATGCTCGCCACTTTATTCCCTCTAGTGGACAAAAAAGGGTCCAACAATTTAGGGAACAAACACTAAATAAAATACAAAGCAGGTCCTCTATAAATGGAAAATATGAAAATACACTTGTCCTGGTGGCTATCAAAAACATGAAGTACCGGTATATACAGTGGAAATGATTCTAAACTACAGACAAGGGACTCATAAACAAAGTCCATATCTCATTCACTCACTCAAGCATTCGGTCACATGCACGCAGCAATACTCCATCACACAGACACCCGCCTCCTCATCCTGAACACATCTCTTGGTTAAAGGTAAAGAAAGGATAAAAAAATGTCATTACATTTTTACCACCTCAGACTCACTTCAGACTGTAAAGATAACAAAGTTGTTAATCCACAATGATCAGCCGTGCATTTGTGTGCCTGATAAACAGTTGTATCAAAAAAAGAATAAAGTTGATTTGATTTCCAATCAGCGCTGGAGAGCAAACTTTGGCGGCGGCAGGAGAGCGTTTTCACGTGTCCTGCTTCAACTGTCTTTGTCTAGTGCGGTGGTGGCCAGCGTCACCGTGGTGATGGGCTGACCGATGCCGTGCATCTGCATGCGGGCCAATTTTTTCTGTTCACACTCGGTCACCAGGTTGTTGAGATCAGCAGCACTGTAGCCAATCAGAGTTCTCAGGTCGCACACAAACTTGTAGACGAAGCGCTTGCCCTGCACCTTGCTGATCATGTCCCCGTCGTAGTAATACCTGAGAGAGAATGCACGTTAGAAAACTGCCCGGAAGGAGCCCAAATAAAATCCTGCAACTTAAGTATTTTACCACATGGAGTTAAATAATTTCTTGTTATCTAATATCACCATATTTGTATTGGAGCAATCCACCATGACAGGTTTTACACATTAATGATGTACTTCTCAGTTGTATATTTTCTGTGTTTGGCTACATCTAAATTAAACTTGTAGTGAGAGATGAGAAAACTGCAGCTAGGCAATGGCAATATCGACTGATTAGTGTTGTTATTGGTGCCATCTAATATCTTACGAGGCTTACAATTCAGCTTTGGATAAAGTGATGCAGGAAATAGAAAGGCATAATGGTAGAGGAAGATAAGGCCATTAGGATTACCAACATATTTCTCAGCCATTAAATTACCAAGAGAAAGATTACAGTTACAATATAACGACCACAAAGATAACTATATTGTCTTTTCTGATGTAAGCAAACACATCACAATTGTTAACTGTAAGCATTTTGAAATGTGTAAATAACACAGAACTGCTGTAAGCCATGTCCACTTGTGGTAAACACTAAAGACAGAGTGCATCAAGCACAGGTGTTTAAAGAAAAGATGCTTTTTGAGTTGCCTTGTGGGAATTGAAGAATTACTACTAGGACCAAAGTCAGAACGTGCTGGACTCATTTTGACCAAAAGCTCTCCAACGTTATGGGAGTACAATACTAAACACCCCTTTAAAAAGGAAGAAACCAACCTGAGGGCTCTGCTGAGTTTCTCGTAGTTCATAGTAGGCTTGTTCTTGCGCTGGCCCCATTTCTGAGCCACCAGCTCCGGCTGGTTGAGTTTGAACTCGCCCTCCTCGCCCACCCAGGAGATGCAGTCTCTTGCATCCTTGTCTGTCAGCAGCTCTAACAGGAACTGCCACAACTGGATCTGACCGTTGTTGCCTGGCACCAAACAAACAGAGCATTCAGTGTAAAATACCAGTCACAAAAATCACATGAAATAATAGATTATTCTGCCAATTTATGTAAAGTTCCACATCTGTATAGACCTGGCCAACAATACTGACGGATTGAAAGCTTTGTAAAAATACAGAGTATATGGTATAACTCTGGTCAACAAACCCTCCTCCCAGTCTTTTTAGTACTTTAAGGTTGTGTGTCTAAAAAAGTATGTAACCTGCTTAGATTTAAATGACACATCAACATCATGAGTTATGAATTACCTGTGCGGTTGCCCGGTGAGCTTCGCTCCTCTCCTCCTGAAATACGCGGTGTTCTGGGGCCACGGCTCTGCTTCATCACCTTTATGGTAGTGGGTGTGCTAACTTGTGTTGGGATTATCTGTACGGCTGAAGAAAGTTAATGCAAACCAGAATATTAATGATCAGGAAAAACTGCTAGTGTCCATTACAATGTAAGTAGAGCTTTTCCTTCTGCAAGCAAGAGATCATTTCTCCCCTAATGTGCTAGCTTTGTTTGTTTTTTCAAATCACACTTTTTCAATAAACCACTTACGCTGATCAATGGTGACAGTAGCGTCCCCACCCGACTGGTCCTGGCTTGCCAACACATCTGAAATAAATACAAGGCATTAGTACTGACACATTTATTAGGCTATGATTTCTGTCCCAGGTATAAACAAGGTGGGACTTGTACTTCCATTACATCTGGAGACCCCTTAAAACACAAACTTTACGCTACAAAAACATTTAATAACTATTTAACTTACATTTGCGCAGCAGCTCCAGGTGACTCCAGAGTATCTCTCCGTTGGGAACTTTCTGAAGGAACTCTTCCTGGCTGAAGAAGCAGAGATCTCGACCTGGAATGTGAATGCTTCCGATTTCCATCTCATCGATGTTGAACTCCTTCATTACCCACACTGCCCAGTGGATCACCTGGTCAGCAGACCAGAGCACAGGATCTGGGGAAGGAGAGGAGGAAACATCAAACACCATGTTCACCACGTTAAATATGTTTCTTTACACAATAAAGCGTCTTATTTAAGTGATTCTCACCATATGGTATGCCCAGGCGAACCTGCTCTTTTCGGTATCCTTCCAGTGCTGCAGCCCAGCGTGTAACCTGCTCCGAGGTCTCATCAGAGAGGCCAGATCGCTCCACCGCAATGAGTTGACCCTCCTCTACCATCGTTCCATCCTCTCCCGCATCTGGGTCAATAACCACTTCTACTGTTTCTACCGGCTTCACAATTTCCAAAATGTTCAACTTCTCCTCTCCTGGACAAGGGAAAGAAAACAAGTAGGTGAGTTTAGTTTGGTGTATGATGAATGTTAAGTTTGGATATCAAAAGTAATACAAAGCTTTATATTATCTGATATTTAAAGCATCATCCGAGTACCTGGTTTGGTTATTATCTGCAGGCTGAGCTGCACGGTGCCATCGGTTTTTACACCCTGGTCAAAGAGGCTGTGGTCAGGGTGAAGCTAAAAGGAAGAACACAACAGATAAGCTTTAAAAAAAAGAAAGAAGCAACACTTGGCAGTTCAAAGGAATACTATAAGATCAACATTACATGACTATTGTGTTAGCCGCAAAAACATTATCGAATCATAGAGAGATCTTAATATGTTGTATTTATCTAAATTCTTACCTGAATGTCCTGCAAGCAGATCTCATACGGATCCAGTGATATCTGGATGCGGGGCTCCAAAAGCTTCTTCAAATTGCCAATGGGCTCATTGATGTCAATATCTTGTTGAATCAGATCTGACGCAGTAATGGTCTGCTCCTCAACACTACATGTACAAGAGAGGGGGGGGGGATTAGTGTTTATTTGCTTCATGTGCAAGAGTTTTCCATTCAAATGATCCTCTTCCAGCTTACCCTTCCTCCAGGCATGCCTGCTTCTCCTGCTCATCTATCTCGATCTCTATCATTTCTTCAGGTTCACCTTTAGACATTATGTTCTACGCAGAAAAAAAACCTGTAGGAAATTTAAAAAAAGGTTGCGTTACTAATGCTTAGATACATTACATACTATAGCCGACCATAATTAAACACACATTCACACCAGGTCAATGATTATGTCTTCAACGTATGCAATACAATACTGTAAGACAAAGAAATAAAGAAAAGTGTCACATTTCAAATGGCACTAAATGTTAATTGGGAGGGTCAGACTGTGACTACCAAATCAAGATCCTGGCAGATCTCATGCTGAATGAACGTACTATATTTTGAGAGTCCAAAATTGTAATCTATACAGCAGGATTCGCAGGAACAGTTTGAATGTTGGAAATTAATGCAGACTACTTTCATATATTTCGGAGCTGCTCTCTAAACAATTCATATTTGCAAGAGATTCAATTAACCCTTTTTCTTAACACTACATATTGATTGATAAATCAAAACTACTGGGAAAATGGACAACATACTTAGGGGATGTGACCTACTGTTTTATATTGTTCCATGCTCACTGCTTGTAGCACTTCAGGATTTGAACTCAAATATGAAGTGCATTATAAATTAAACCCATCATTATTATTATCAATGTTTTGGTAAATACAATCTGTTGTACTATTCTTTTTTTCTCTTTAACCTGAAACTACCAATGAAAACCATTGCAATAAGAAATGGTAACCATGCATAATAGTTGTTATACCTAATGCTATACATCTTGAATTATATATAGAACATTTATTTAGCCAGGAAAATCAATTAAGAACAAATTCTTATTTTCAATGACGACCTGAATATGTATGTGTATGTATGTGTATGTATGCACACACACACACACACACACAAAAGTTTCACTCTATGGCACAGACACACTATTGCCCACTGAAGGAAAATAACTTGTGTTTTTGTATGTATTATTCTGTGATTGGAAGGTTTGTGAGCACAAACAACTAAAAGTGCATACAAAAAGTTAAAATAATTGAGGTTTCGATACGTGAGAATATTCCGGCTGAAGTGTGTATTTACGTGGTGCTGGCTAAAGTTTGGGGGGGGGGGATTCTACTATAGAGGCCTCTCAGCCTCGATTCCTCATTGTCCGCCTACAACAGTTCACTGACTGCTAACGTTAGCTAACTCGAGGGCGAGGCATTGGTTTCTAAAGGCCAACTGGTAGGCCATTAGTTATATTAGGTGTTACCACGTATAACTACACATAATGAACAAATGTTGAAAAATCACATAAAAGTTAAATGTATACACCAGGCTACACGTGTCGACACACTGAAGCTTGAGTACAGTGAGCCGAGTTAGCTACTATTTTGCACGCGAATACAGCACGGGGCGAGGCTGTCGTTACACAACCATTGCTCCCAACGTGAGAAACAGCCGTTAAAATACCACAGGAACACATCGCGCTTCATAACCGTAACAAATCGTTGTTAAATCCCACTTTAACTCTGCATGTAGAAAAGTTTTAAAAAACGGAAATAGAATAAACGGAAACAAAACAGCATAGGGCAAATGGAAAGGAGCCGGAAATCCTGGCTAAGGTTTACAGCGTTACAAGACTTCCGAGAGCAGCCGCCATAAATGCGACACGAGCTTCAGGAGAAAAGAGCAGCAGCGGTGTTGCTATGACACCTAAACATCGTTCAGTTACATACTGACTGCAACAATACGGAGAAGTACGAACTAAAAAAGCATTTTTAATCGTGTCTGGATGTATACGCACTGTGTTTGAGGCTGGACGGCGATCAGAGGCGCGGCAGCAGTCTCTCCTCTTCACTGCAGATAGCAACCTGGCTAACACTAAACTGGTACAACAGAGATTGTCTTAAACTATACTCCGGCTGTTTTAATCTTCCATATGCAGAAATGGCACAAGTAGCAGCGTTGGCCTAGCTTCAAGTTGGCTAATGCTCTGTGAGTGTGTTTTTATGACTGCCTGAAGGTAGGCGGCCTCTTTCTACTAGGCTAGGAAATAAACAACAGCTAGCAGGCTAGTAAGCCACAAAATAGCGGGAAGAGTCTAAAGCACGGCAAACAGACCCCTTCACATGGCTGCGATTTAGTACATTTTCTCTTAAATAAGCAGCGCAATCTGCGAGATATCCATACCTGTGAAAATGCAGGCCTTGAGAGATGTTTGATTGTGTTCAACTGTAGTAGATAGGCAGCCAAATTTCACACAGTCGAGTCGTATCATGCAAGTTTTTGGTCAACACACTCTGGGGAGGGGCGGAGACTAACTGGCAAGACAGTTACCCTACACTTTTATGGAAAATACAAAATGTGACTAGTGTTTACTTGTGTGACGTTTCCATAGTTTGGTGTTCTCTCTACAAATGTGTGTCCAGCATAATGTTTTAATAACAAACATTTTTTTTCCATCAGCTTTCAATTTCATGTTAGTGGTCCATTTCAACACACTTTCCAGTTCTTCAACCATATTATTCCCATCAGGCTTTATTGTCATATGCACAGTAGTTACAGTGTGGTTATGGTAATAGATAATGGAAAATAAATGTCAAAAACCCAATAAAAATAGTGAAAGATGATGTTGCAAGACCAATGTGCAGGAAATGCAGGAGAAGTTAATTATATACATGTCAAGTAAAACACAACAAGCTAAATGTTGCATATGGTCTCTATGTATGTAAATAGCATAAGATAAACAAGAACAGAATGTAAAATGAGATACTGTACAGTGGAATAAATACTGATTGTTGTAATAATAAATACATTTGTGAGAGACTGAAATGCTGTGAATCCTCAACTAACTAAAGTCATATTTATGTTGAACTTCTTTGTGTTTCCTGCAGACTGTTAACGTTAAAAGAAAGCATTAGGTATAATTACAAGCAAAATATGAGGAGGCTCTGGGCGGTGATAGCCCACTATGCGATACTGGGGCAAAGATGAGCTCTCTATTTAGCCTCACTCTGCACACATTTGGTCACGGTCACACACAAACCAAAATGTTTTCCTGTTTGAAAAAGTGTGCACCATGTAAGCACAACATTTTAAATGTATTTTGACACAGGCCCCCTTGACAAAATCTCAATACAGTAGCCACATTAATTGTGAGGCCCCTAACAATTCAGTACCTGGTCCCTTGGGGGCTAGGGGGTTTGGAGTCCTGGGGCAGTTTCCCTTTTTCTGTTTCGTAATCCAACTTTATTTTTGAAATATACTAATTGTCCTTAATATACAGTATCATGACTCTTGTATCTGTTGAATGTTATGTTTGTTTCATGTTAGTTAATCTTATTAATCTAGTTAAATATTATATAAAGCTAGTGTCTCTAGGTGTGCTGATGATGGTTTTCTTTTTGTGGATGATTTGTAGTCAGGACTTCACTTTTTATAAACTGTTCCTAAATAAAGTGTAACAGATAGTTTAACTAATAAATGTATCTTGATAAAAAAAAATTGGTCATGTTTCTGTTTTTAAAAGCTATGGCCTTGTTTTTGTATGTCTTATGTTCATGTCTTCCATAATGATGCTTCCCTCCCTGGAGATCACAAGGATGTATGTTATAACATCTTTATGAAATAATATCATTACATTTAAATATCCATAATATTGAAAGTTATTGCTTTAAAGAGCAGGTGGTATTGCACATTCACTTTTACTGTAAGTCCCTCAAGTTCTCAGCAACACCAATATATATCTCAGGCCTTGTTTGGGTGCCACTCCCTTAAAAAGACCCCTACATTCAAAGGGATCTCGTAGCCTACTTTACCTTCTAATTCATATTTGTCACTGAACATATAATACATGACAACAAATTATTTAAGAGGTAAAATATTTAATGATTCTACAAATTCAACAAAAGATGACTTTAAATTGTGGAAAAAGCTTTTGTTTCGAAAAGCACTGTAGACACGGAAGTGAGTGAAATGACACATGTCCGGTGTGCGCGCTGCCCTTCAAAATAAAGGCCATCAGGTTTAAGTTTTGATTTCTAAACTACATTATCAGTCGAGAAGTCTGCACAAAAAAGACAATCTGCATTATTATTTTTGAAATAATTGTATTTGATTAGTAATAATAGTAAGGATAATGGCACATCGATATTCTTCATGATGCAGTTTATAGTTAATGCATGCTTTTCTCAGCTAAACATAGAACGATGAAGCCTAATTACTAGCTAGCTACCGTAAATAAATCCAACGAATTGATAAATAGGATAAGATAACATTACAATGACCACGTGTAATGAATACACCTTTAAATATCTCAATAATTTGAGCAAGTTTTGCGGGGGAAAAAACACATTTTCTGCGCAGTTATACTGTGGACACATTTACTCTGAAGGAGGAGGACGGAAGCCTTGACGCTGCTGCTGCTGCTGGTTGAGCGCAGGCTAGCCAAGATGGCGGAATACTTGGCGTCCATTTTTGGGACAGAGAAAGATAAGTAAGTATTTATCTGTTATTTAGTCACTGTTAAGCAATGTGTTCAATAATCACTTCTTGCACCTGCTTTGACGACTACTAATGTATACATCAGCGTTTGTAGACTCTAGCTGGACACGTTTCACCGGCTCTAACAACTAGCAGCTAGGCTAAATGCTAGCACGCTGGCTAGCGTTTGTAAAATACCGCGCCGCGACTGTTAGCCAACATCTGGCTTCTGCTGAGCCTTTCTGGGATGGTTAGAATAAAACGATTACAACGAGTTTGTTTTTGTGAATACAAATCTCTTAACCAATACACTAACTACTCTCTTCTATTGGAGTTGGCTAATGATACTTAGGTACTTAAGGAAACTCATAAGAAGCCTTTGTTACAGTAGGTCATACCCGGATAGTCATTATCCAACATTAAACAAGCTAATCACAATTGTATCCAAATAACAAATTGTACCAAACGCCATAGCATTTAATTGCACAGTGTTCCTTTTTGTTTTTGGTTGCAGATATTACGCCAAATCACAAGTTACGTTAATGAATGGGTGCAAGTGTATCTCCCCCGCTTCACTATTCATTTCAGGATCTGTTTCTCCTAACAGATAACTCTCCTTTAATCATTATACGAAAGTTTAGAACAACTTAATTTAACCATGTCAGTCCAAAACAATATATTTTGTAATGAGTCCTGAACAAGATAGGACCTGTGGAACATTTCAAACTACATACACGCGTAAATTCAAACGTAGCCTACATCAGCAACCCACAGAATGAAAATATCGTTTTTAATCATATTTTGGGTATTTTTATTTGGGTACCTCTCTGTGACCAAAATATGCATGTTTTCCTAGTTAAACTCAGCTAAAGAACTAGTCGGTTTTTATTAGAAAGTAGCTTCACATATACGAGGACTAGGTGTTTGTATATGTGGTGTATACAAAGACACAGAAAGAAGAATACACACTGATAGACCTGAAACTAGCAGATTCATTGGTAAACATACAAGGGGCTGGTAGATTTGCTTTTCTAACCAGCTAAAAAACTCAAGGATAATCCCTTAACTGACAGGTCAAATGTGATAATATGCTTGCTATTTAGCCTGTGGACAAGAAACCCAAGCCACATAACCTTTAGCAAACATGGAGACAGGTTCAAGAGAATGCTTTTATGTAGGTCTTTAGCAGGTCTCCCTTGAAAAAGAGATCAATGATCTCAATGGGATACACCTGGATAAATAAAGGTTTGAAAATGTTTACTTCATCTGCATTTATTGTGTCTTTCTCCCTAGGGTCAACTGCTCGTTTTATTTTAAAATTGGTGCCTGTCGACATGGCGACCGCTGCTCCAGATTACACAATAAACCAACATTCAGCCAGGTAAGATTATTTATAAATTTTTATTTCAAAGTATTGTTATGATAAAAATGATACAGAGACCAGAGCAAACTTTTATTTCTCATGTCTTGTGTATATAATAGGAGCTATAAGATTGTCTAAGTTTTAACTGTGACTCACATCTTATTTGTCAGTTTTCTATGCTGTTGACACATTTTGTGATCATTACTAGAAAATAAACACAGCAGTTTCATACTCATCCCCTATCCAAACAAATTGTTCCAATCATTTTTATTTTTTCTGTTTCAGACAATTGCCCTCCTGAACATTTACAGGAACCCTCAGAACAGTGCCCAGTCTGCTGATGGCCTCACCTGTAAGTGTTTCTCTGGATTTTCAAGCCAGTTCTTGAAAAGCAAGAGCATGTTTTTATAAAGTGTTCACGACAATTGTTTCTTTCATCTTATCGATATTTTTATGATAAATAAAGTGAAAGAAAGGCCAACAGTCTTTGAGGGTTGTTCAGGTGGAAGTCCTATGATCCGATATCAGCATTTTGAGTGGCTGAAACTACTTCATGCAGGCTTTTCATTGTTGCATGAAAAATGTATTTGTTGAATCCCTGGCATTGAAAAGAAAGGACATAATATATCTGTTTTGTTTGGTTTTCCTGTTTTTTTTTATTCTCTTTTATAACCACAAGGTGCCATCAGTGACATGGAGATGCAGGAGCACTATGATGAGTTTTTTGAGGTAAGTTCTGAATATTTTCCTCAAACCCCAACCACACCACTGTGTAGCTGATACATTCTCTTTGAGGAAATGATTCAACAAACCTTGTTTTAAAATGGGTTACACCTTTTACAGTATGTTGTTAAAAAATACATACATCAAGTATCACATTATGGCGGCTGTACTATTTTTGCATAAACAGACCCAACTATCTCTTCATATATATTACATTTGTAGCAGTCATAAGGTAGAAACAAAATAAGAATGATCCATCAATCATTCTATTACTTTTCTGGACTGAAAATCAACAATGTAACTACTACTCATGATCATCTATGTCATTTTTGTCTTTCTTAACCTTACAGGAGGTCTTCACAGAGATGGAGGAAAAGTATGGAGAGGTGGAGGAAATGAACGTGTGTGACAACCTCGGTGACCACCTAGTTGGAAATGTGTATGTCAAGGTGAGCATCGGTTCTAAAAACGACATATATTACCACTGCTTTAATACCAGTGATGCAAATTAGCGCCTCCCGCTTTTTTAACGCTGATTTGGGTGACTTGTGTAATTCGTGGAGAACCGAAGAGTTTTCGTTTTGGGGGGGGGGTCTGACTGACGGACAACTTCTCACTTCAAAACATAGACTTTACATGGGCGGGCCGCCCACGTATAGCCTATTAACGGTCGCCAAAGTA